AGGAACTTACATTTCTGTGTTTTGCTTGTTGTGTCTCTTCAGGGAGGAAGAGTTTGATGAGTACTTTGAAGACATGTTTCTTTGAATCCGCTGGAATCAGTGGCTTCCCTGCTGTGACTACACTTCTGTGTGTCTTCTGAATACTTAAAGGTGCTCTGTTTGAGTCTTGACTGTATGTAGGTTTATTTCACTGCGAGTTCCATTACTGAATGAATGAAATAAACATCGTGTTTACATGGCCCGTCCCTGTCACCTTCTCTTTATATCTGTTTTTGTTTGTTGCAAATTTTACCATTTTAATGTCTCTTTTTACAACCCAGCACATACAGGAAATGCTCTTTTTCTTTTCAGCCGTGGAGCTTGCCCCTTGCTTATGATGCATAACTTAATTAAGTCTTAATTCAATAACCTTGTCCCCAAGTCCCATTTGCAACTAAACCTGCATATATGATTGTTTTGTGAAGTGTTGCATTGGAGTCAAACCTTCTGCTCTTAAAAAAGAAAGGATTATCTTTAACTGCAGAGGGGAACTACATGTTGCTGGGGATTAAAGACCTTGGCTTAAATAAAGACAATTACCACATACTGCTCTGTCTGTGTCCTTTTTTACTTTCTGCTTTCTCGGGAGCACTCTTTCACTGTGTGATTCATGGCGATGTAAGCTAACAGGTAGTTAAGTACAGTCCACTGAGCAATAACAGCTTGTTTTGGAGTTTAGGCAGGATACGATTCAGCCTGCAGCTACACTTGTACACCTTTTCAGCTGATCAATTGTGCTGTCAAAGTCCGTTTTCTTGGATATGTTGCTTGTGTTTTTCCCTCGTGATTTAGAAGTTGAAAAGTAACACCAATTTTTCGCTCTCATTGAAGAACCCAGAAAAAGTCCAGTTTGTATTCAAGTCCAAGTTTCCACAAAATTGGTTCTCCTCAAACTAGATATTGGTTACTTGTGTCTTATTAACATCAGCTGAATCTCAGCCATCCGAGTTATAATAAGCCACTAACTTTTTATTCCAGTAGAGGTGGACTGTGAAGAGAGTTGCACTCGCCGACCTGCAAACTCTCCGGGGATCTAAGGGTCGCGTTGGCGCAGAAGCATTCGGCGAAATGATAAATTACTGCTCTGTGTTTCATGTCACATATTTCACATTGTCAGCGGAGGCCTCAGCAGCATCCTGTCCTCTCTATGCAACGCACACGCTGGATTGCACTGCTGCAGCCGCTCTTAATTGTGTTATTTTCCTACACTTCAATGTGCAATTTCCAGCTTTCTCCAGGCGGAATTTGCACACAGCAGGTCACAGGCGCAACGCTGAGCAGAAAAGTGAGATGGTACTGAATCGGGCAGGGATCACAACCAATCCACTGATCCTCTTTCCCCAATGGCTCATCCAGCTTTGGAGCCTCTAAGATCCCCCCGGTGATATATGGCTTTCCGACGAGCACTGTCGCAGCTAAGCCCAGAGGATCTCAGGTTCACTCTCTGCCTGTGTTTAACTTTAATGTGCATAACTCAACTTGCGAAGAAGAGAGAAAGTGTCGCCTCTGCACGTGCTGTCCTATTTTCAAGCCCAAAAAAAGCGATGCTCTTTACTCTTTTGCATCCATAATATCCTTTATTTGCTTACACATATTACATCTCATGACTCATACAGAGGTCATTTCATACATCAAATGATAGAGCTCTAATGTCTGAATGACAGTTGATGGATTAAGTAGAAAGTATATAGTGCTTTTTTTGTGTCACACAAAGGATCCAAAAGAAAAGCCAAGGGGCTGTTTTTTTTTTTTTTACATAACTGGAGACAGAACTGATGGTGTAAGATTTCATATAAAATGTGTGCAGCAAGATAAGATTATGAAATCACTGAAACATATCTCTCACATTTCGTAAATGTTTGTTTTTTTGCACAGTTTTGGATGCAGGGATTACAACGGCTCCTCGCTTCACCTCAAGCAGCAGACAAGGTAGTTTCCAGGTACTCCCAAAGCCCTTCTGATAGGATCAAGTGCCTCTGATTGATGCCCCATTGATTAGAGGAGACATTGCGTAACAGGGAGATGAAAGCCACAGCCGCAGTGCTAACAAGAAAGTGCACTCTGCCTGCACTGTAAACTCTTACGTTTTCAGCCCAGATCGGTTCAATTTGGTTTTACGTGGGTGGCATAGATTTACACTGAGTTGAGCAGTTATTGCCTTATTTGTCTCACGGTTACATCAATGAAGAAAGAAGGAGACGACTTTGGCCTGTACCACCGTACAATCAATGATGCTCTAGCTGCATCTTCACAAAAACAAGTCTCTGCACATATATATGATAAGCCTTTTTTTTTTTTTACCTCCTCAGTAAGACGGTTATTTAAAGCTGTGTGGATCGCAAACACTGGCAGGCAATCAAATCCTCTTACAGAAGAGGTAGATCTACTGCAACGCTCGCCTGCTTACAAGAAGCAAAAGTTGCCTTTACAACCTTCAATAAGTTTATATAAATTTACATTTTACAATTCCTATGCCATAAACTATAAACATGTGAAATCATTTACATTTAAAAAGACTTTTAAATGGGATCGATAAGAAATTGTAAGTTCAATCTTAATACCCGTGTAGTAAAATTGTGTCTTTCCACAGTTCAGCGCAGCTCAGAGGAATTCATCAAAGCTGACGATAAAGGTTCGCAAGTGCAAAACACAGACTCAACGTCTGGATGTGATTCTAGTGATAATTTGTCCTCTTTCAAAGCTCCCCTCCATCCTCCTTCCAAGACAGTCCAAGTACAAAATACTCAAAGAATCAAAAAAAAAAAAGAAGTATATATAGATATAGTTGCATATTAAAATACAAACACCTTCACACAGCTTCTTAGTGCCTTTTGAGGTAAGAGACATCGGTCTTTATTTCAAGACAGTGCGTTTCTCACTATTACATGCATTCCTTACTTTTCACCACTAAAGCATTAACAGGTCCCTCAGATTGCAGCTTTCCTACTCTTAATGTGAAGGAATTAATTTCACACATTTCCTTTAGCCCCTTTCCTCAGGTTCGTAGCCATGACGTTACGTGTCCCAGCCTGCCCTCCCTCACTTTATCACGTCTGCTACTGTCAAAATAGCATCAGCTAAGTGCGTTGTGCGACCTACAGTATTAAAATATACTGCGTGTTAACTGACTGCCAACAGGAGCGCTC